ACTACGCATTCACTGATAGACGACAGAGGAGAGACGATGAGTTTGCGAAACTGGTCAATTGTTCTTTACTTCGCTTCTATTCGTCTCGTGTCGCTACTTTGACGCATTCCATATCAAACACTGTACAGTTAAGACTGTTTACGCATTGCTTTGTAATGCAAGGCAGCTTTAGAGCTCCAGCATAAAGTAACCGAACAATTCACGCATTAGTGATTCCTAAACAACCCAATCACCAACTTACATTCATTCTGCAAAGTGATTCATGAAAATATCAGCACTTTGGTCAGGATGTAAGGGAGATACGACCCAGTGGGTCCCATTCTACCTCCACCGTATTGCCGTGTTTCACTTTGAGGATATTTTTGGGGGCGCAAAATGGTCATCATTCACCCTCTTGGTATTGGCATTGGCGTTGGCAGTCGACAATCGCAAGGCCACTTGCAAAATGGCGTAGACAGTTGGTTCTACAACAAAAGTGAAATAGAAACAGATGTGGCTGGTGCTAGAGACGAAAGATTTATCACATAGGCCTTTGCGGCTGCTTCGCGTTCAATTGAGGAAGGATGGTAGATTGTATTAGTGCCCGCTGCAATAAAATTGTTTGAGTACTCCTCTGTGAACATTTTACTTGCATTACATAAAGCAGCAAAAAATCCATTTAGTTACGAATGCGAAATTAACCGATTCACCAAAATTAGAGGATGGATTTCTGTATTCTCGATGTGCACTTGATTTCTGTAAATTTTTACGACAATATCACTCTCTAAGGGTTATTGATGCCATTTAAAGCTTATGTAACTTGGCTTGCATCCATTTCCAGATCCACTTCCTGAAATTTACTCCTTTTGTGACTATCTTAGCTTACGTTTTGCAACTTTGGTGCAGTTATCAATGACCACGTCAAAATCACTTTACAGCACTCTACTTAGAGTTTTAGAAATCTTCCACTTTGTGGCCTGCGGTGCGTGAGTGTGTGATGTTATTGCAACAACTTAATTTTGTCTCTCAAACTTTCACTTGGGTTAGATTACAGAGTTTACCCCTCCATGAAGTAAGGTAAGCTGCACTTTAGTTAGCTATTCCACCTTTAAGGGATACCTCAGTGGTGTCAGAAAACGACCGACCAACGTTTTCTTGGATGTGATTGTGCTTGGAATTTTGTTATACATTTGTACTTGCACTTGACCTGGTAATAGTTACTCCATGATTAACATCCTTTGGCGATTTCCCTTAGGCAAATTATAAGAAATCCAGTATGGGAAAAAATATCCAGGCCCTTGTTTTCCTATTCTCTTATCGTCAGTTACTGATCTACACTTTGCTAAGCCCAAGACTGCAAAGAATTGGGGTGTAAACAGATTTTGTCCTCAAGATCTCTGCCTTAAAGTCCTGTGAATCACTCGAAACTTGTGTTACAAGCGCTTCAATGCAATCATTAACGACGAGGAGAACTTTAACCTCCTATGTCAATACCGGCAGCTTTGTGCTCAAAAACACGGTAAAATATTGGCTTGCCCTAGGAGTAATTTATAGGTCCTGTTGCCGTCTTTGCCTGTGTGACAGCCCTCCTGCCAATCCCTGGGGGTTGCAGGTTAACCATGCATAATTAGTCCTATAGTATGTCCGGATACAACCAACTACTGCCCTCTTTCTGCCCACACTGATTTCCAACAAAATTACGAAAGTGTGGGAATATGTTGGCTATTTCCTGTATTTGGAATTTTGGTCGGCAGGTCTTCTACTGACAGGCAATGCCAATTCAGGTGTTTAAAGGGATTCAAAATCTTTTCCAGTGAAATTAGCAGAATCGCCCACATTAATGAGCCAAGTTCGAATTCGTTTCACTTACTACTTTCTTAATGCCTTAATTTGCCATAAATACTCGATCAGTTTCTAGTTGGCCTTCCAAGACATGAATCGAGTATATTCATCCTCCTTTCTCTCCTCCTATAAAATCGCTTTTTGTATAAAAAGCATATTTGATAATGGCTCTTAAACATTAAAGGTTTTTTATAAATCATCCCCTCCGCCAAAATTATTTAAAAAGACTAATAATTCACTCAATTCAACTTTTTCTTTTCGTTATTGTTACTGCCTTTACCAAACAGAATGAAGAACATTTTTAAATCTAGGCGAAATTCTCTCCGAGAATACTATCAACTCAAAATGGCAAGTTTTGTTGATGCGACGGGAAAAAGGGCAGAATTTTTTCTCATTTTCGATGAAGGCTGTCAAATACATCGGTATGAGTCGGTACGTATTTCCTCCGCCAAAGTCGGATGAGCTCCGGTTTTTGCACCAAAATGAAGCCAACTTTGGGGAAGCCATATTCTAATAAACTTGAAGCGTTCCACGTAGATTTCCTTTCCTATCCAGCGGCCTAGTCTGGTAGGTTGTGAGTTATTTGGCCAATTCTGCATACTATATTCCCTTTGTTACCCTTAGGGATGCATTTTTAGCAGTTACGCTAATCAAAGTATTCAATCTGTCACACACTTCACTTGCTTATTGACACTTTAGTTTTGACCGAGAGGCAGGCGTCCTTACACGATTTTATTGGATTTATTTTGATACAGGGTGCTACAGTATTGTTCTATGGCATCATCATCGCCCTGATTCTAGGATTTTAAATCAGGTGGAAGACTGACGATAGTATAACCATAAACACCACCCAATTACAATGAGATGCTCTAATAATATTTTCAGCTGGATTTGAGAGGAGGAACACGAGTAAATAAACGATTTGCAATATTGGTCTGTTACTAATCCTGCTACAGAATTTTGCATGTTATTGGCATTTAATAGGGATTTTTAAGTTAACATTGCACTGCTAATTCCTTTGCCTAATTTCCGACTGAAATTAAACATCCTGGAACGCTGTTGTATCAAGGTCTTTTAACATTGTGCTAGGGCTTCCAAGCTGGTCCGCAACAAACAGAAAGGATGAGAATTTCAAGGTATATTCCCTTGCTTTACACCATCCTTCAATCTCACTTCTCAATCTCAAGCAAATCATAATAAATATTAAGGCCTCCCTTCTTAAAAAGATGAAGAGCCCTGTGGAAATGTTTGTTGAGACAATAGATATATAAAACAACATTTTTTGCTTTAAAATGGTGCATGAGAAATAAAGTAGTGCCGCGTCTATCTTAATGAAATTTTACCTTGCCATGATCTCTTTTCTTATGTTTTTCTGCTTTTTCATATAAGGATACTCACCCTTCCTGTCCAGCTTTAGATGATTCGATAACATTGCGACTGCAAGGCCTGTCAAACCTTGAAATAACTGGTCATCGCGTGTCACTTTGGCCTCAGATCAGATCTTCTGTGTATCGTATTCATGATAAATTTACGAGATGGTAGAAACGAAATCACTTACTGTCCGGACTCATTCGGCAAATACGTCTTGATATTTTAAATGGCCTACGTTTTCATAAGTGATCTTTTATTCGTTATTTTTTCATGGTTTCGTTTAGAGCTAAACTATCAAAATGGGGTAAAAATAATTAATCATTGCCATCCATACATGATGCTGATAATTCCACGACATTTTATCTTTTACTTTGGACTTAAACCCTCCCATGTTAAATATAGACTTCCGGAATCAGACCCTAGACTTATTAAACTAAACTATATTTCATTTTCCAGGAGAATAGCCAGTACTACTTTTATTTCTATTGCGTACCCTAACCCTTTACAAAATATAGTGATGATATTTTACTGCCGTAGTAGAAAGACAAGAAGCCGAAATGTCTATTGTCAACAAATTGCAGTGATTTAGCTCTACTTTAAGTATCTAAATCAGACTATTTTTTCTTTAGAGAAAGTAATTCGCTGACACATTATATAGAATATGACTTCATTGTCTGTACTTTATCGAATGAAAAAGTTTCAAGTTTTCGGTCGTATTTTAACTCCCAAGTCAATTAAGGATTCTCCGTCTGTTACTTTAAACACTACTGATTGGCTTTTATCCATAACCTTTGCCATTATACGCCCCGTCGTCTCCTTACGACCTATTTCCCTTCTGTACCACAATGGTGCAGTGCTTTTAGACCCAGCTAGTAATTGTCATAACATTACAGAACTTCTTTCATTTGGCTGCCTTTGCGTATTTAAGTCGCTGGTACTTACAAAGGGAAAAACCGTGGCACTAAGTTCACAGCATAATTTATTTCACCGAGCCCTGTGAAAATGCACCGAGTCATAAATTGCGCTTCACTTGAAATAGATGTGCTGCACTATTACCAAATTTACCGAGTGGTGGTGGGATCAAGGGGTAAAATATCCCACGATGCAATGACAAGGGAGATGCATTGGCCATGCAACACCCGAAGCTAACTTGATATATAAGCTTTACTGCCCTATTACATCAGTTAGTTTAAAAATCCTTCCATATGCGTTTCAGTTTGGAATAAACCGTGTACCGACGAAAAATAGATTTAGATTTTCCTTTGCGTATTCTGCAGTGACCATGTTTTTGTCATTTATGGGCATTTTTATATTTTTAAACAAATGGTAAGCTTTTTTAATTCATTCGCTCCTGTTAATTTAATGGAGACCTATATGCATTCTCTGGTCATTTTTGAACTACATTTGTATCATATAGCCACCGCAGCACTATTCAATATACCTTACAGCATCCAAGTTTTCTCCAGAGACATTATAAGGCTTGTAAGCCTAAAATAAGCTGTGCTATAAACTTGCAGAAGTGTCCGGGGGCTAGTAACAAAGGTGGTACAAGCAGAGCTTCATGTTAGCGTCATAACAATCGAGTCACTAAAGACTGAAACAGCGTGCAAATGCTATGATATGACTCAAATAAAGTTTATTTTATTACGAATCTTCGGACCACCGCAATAGGTCTTGATATTCCATCTCAAATTTTAACACCTAAACTTTTACAAAACACCCCGACACTAGAAAGCTCACATCACCAGCCAGCTAAACGTCTTAGGTCGGAAACATTTGCGAGGAAAAACAACGGTCAGGAAAATGAATTATGACTGCGACTTCATCCGAGCGAGACGGCAGACGATAAGAGCACCTCCCTCCGTTCTGCCTCTGTCTTTCGCTCTCCTCTGGGGTGTGGCGGAACGCTATTTGTCATGATGTTTCGCTGCTTTGCCGCTTGTCAGTAGTAGCAGCGGCAGCGGCAGCCGAAGCAGTAGAGGAAACAGTAGAAGCAAAAGGAGACGAGACTCTAGTGCTGGCGGAGGGAGAGGAGGAGAAGAAGGGGACGCCATGCCCCTTTGAGGATAGTTGGTGCATACGAGGAACGCTCTGTGAGAAGAATTGCGTGAGGCGGCGGTCTAGATCAGAGCCTTTTCATCCTCTTCCTCTTATTCCTCCTGTTGGTGATTCCGTCACCGCGTGCATGCGCGCGTGTCTCTGTTGAATCACCCTTGATTAACACATTCCATCCTTCTCCCTCCTCTGATTGTTATTTCAAACTAGGGTTATATTTTGCCCTCCTTAAAGAACTCGAAGCTTTTGACGTATGAAAGTTCCAGTCTTCCTCTTTACCACAATTCTTTTCGCCTTCCTCTCTAGTTCGTTACCTCGCTTGCTCATTCACTGGTATTAAAGTATAGTATCTGCATATTCAATAAGACCTAGGTCCAAACAATGCAAGAGAAGAAGCTAACAAACCGTCTCCAGATATGCACAATAACTTCGTATATTATGTTGAGTCAATCAAATCATGTCATTGCTGTTGTCGGTTCTGGACCAAGATTTGCGGCGCAAGGTAATAGCATGCCTCGCCAATCGGATTCTTGCTTCTTTTAGTTAATTAAATCATGCCAAACACCTCCGGGATTGGCCTTATCCCACCCCAAAAATATCTGTGGTACACTAGCATGAAAATTGACTGCCATTAATAAAGTCCTGTCCAGGTGATTAATTTTGGTACACTTTCTTTTCCTCCCTTTTGGGGGTAGGTTGTGATAAACAACTTTGATTTGGAGCATCCTCTGCAACAAACGTTTATAAACTCCAATTCACCATGACTTTTAGCAAAATTTAGAACGCTGAGCAGGTGTATAGGGAGAAAATCTATGCATGTTAGGGAAAGTTAGTAAAATCATCAAAAATTTTATTTAACACGATGATCTCAATTTCTAAACTAAACTTTAATCAGCCTCTCATAGTTTCAATAACAAAAGGCAATTTTCCAATTTTAGAAAAGGATTGGACACCTACATTTTAGTTTTAAAATGCAGACGGCTCAACTGTGCACTTTTTAATCGACCGTCTCGGCAAAGGAATGCGGTAAAAACGCTCAGTAGTGCACAAATAGAAAGGGCGGGATAGAGCACGAGGGAACGGAGGCTTTTTGAGTCTGGTTGAAACTTTTGCTCCCGCCTAGGAGGGATTCTGGTGCTCATCGGAAAGTCACTAACCCCTTCCCCCATCTCCATCCTTTTCCCCTCTACTCCCTCGCCTCCCCCCCGGCCCCTGCCTCCTCCTCCTATGCCGCCGAGGATTTATTTGCCAGAGTGGGTAGGGATAAAAGGGAGGCTCTGGTGGGAGCAAAGAGACCAGCTGACTCAATGCCGACACCGCTCCTGCTTGTGTATGCGTGCGTGTGAGTGCGTCCGAGGGAGGCAGAGGGGAAATTTATGTCAGAAGGCAAAGCGTTTCCGGCAGGACAGAGTACAAAAAGGGAAGACAAAAAGTCACCTGGAGTTTGTACACTCCAAAAGGTAGCAGTGCTCACAGCGTTGGTGGCGGAGTGGCCGCCTCCTGCTATTAGTACAGGTGATTTTTGCCCCAGAAAAATTGTTTTCTCCCTTGCAAGGGCAGAGTGCATAAGTGCGTGCTCTGCAAATAATTATACGCGACAGGTGACGTGACTAACGCGGAAGTAGTACGATTTTTGTCACAGCAATATCTAAATACTATTTTAGCCATTTAAACTAAATTCTAGCATCAATTGGTATAATTAAAGGGAGAAGAATGAGAAGCAAAAAGCCCAAACCAATGACCTTAGCAATCTTAGCCAATCACTTTGTCTCATCAAGGTCGATTGGACACTGAGATAATTTCCTTACCGTGTTATAGGACAACTCGAAAAAGTCATACTCATTTCTGCTCCTTTTATGGACTGCTCGTTTTTTTTTTTGCAGTGAAGATGGCATTATCGCTAATCAGAGGGTAGTGAAGAGGAGTGGCGTATCTTCGGTTCAGGCGTTTTCATTCCTGTACTTTTACGATTTCCAGTGCAAACAAAGTCCATGCGCATTCGGTTACTTTGATTCCCCGTTTCGCTGACAAAGCACATATATCATTTTTTACAGCACTTCACAATTTTGGTTGTGCCGTGATCCGTGTTTAGGCTGTAGAAGAATGCTGCCCCAAAGTGTGTGTTCAGGCAAATCAAACTCTCATTTCTCGTGTTTTCATGCCTCTCGCCGATGCGAAAATGCACTTTGGCACGTTTAAGGCTTTCGATATAAAAACTTGGTTGTTGTCTCACCGCCACACCACTCACTGTCACCTGCCTCCTGACTGTTAAAATAATCGAAGACAAGGTTGGATAATGTAGGTATGGCGATCCAGTGTCAAACTTACTCAAATTTGCCTTTTCCTCAAAAATAAAAAACAGGGCACTATCCTTCCAAACTTGTACTTTTTCGGCAATCCTTCAAATTTTCTAACAAGCAATCCCCTCAGAAATAACTCCAACTTCTGGGAAATTTGGCAGCAAATAAAGGGCATTTGCGTCGCTTCGATGCCTGAGGGCCCAGTGATGACAGTCCTTCTTTGGGAGGTGAGTCTGCAATAAAACTTGAGCATGGGCTAATCAAGTCCTGGACTGGAAGCGATCAACCATGCTCGGATTTGCGAGTGCCTAAGGGTTAATATTACCAGGCCGAAACAGGCGAGAGGTTGGGGACAGTGAAGAGAGAATTCGGACATGACTCATCCTTTAAGTACTTTGGAGCAATCTTGCACCGCCAGCTTTTTCCCCAGTGAGGTTTCCGTCCAAATGTAAAATGTACGTAAATAAATACTCCGCATTTTCTGCTACTTTAGCTGATAGCATCTTTTCCTCTCGCTCTCTCTACCCATTAGTTCCGCCTTGCCAGAAATTATTTTAAATCAGGTAGGCATAAATTTGTAAATCGTCGCCAATACAACCACTGCTTTGGAATGCGATTGACACTTTCAAGGCTGGTCTAGCTCGAAAACGTGGATTTGATTCAAATAATTAGGAAATGGCCCTTGAAACCACTTTAGTGAATTAAGAGTTTCACTTTTCGACAGTGACTTTTATTCTGATTGTGAATGAAACATGTGCGAGATCTGCGACAATATCAAGATGATGGATAATTATGAGCCCGAAGTAGCTGAAAGGATAAAGCACTAGACCTGGACGAGTTTAATGGCACAAATTAAGTTGTAATAGATGGCTTCCTTGCTGACATATTTTGCTACTCAGGTTCTTTGGTCTCCGCGGTTTCTGTCCATGTCTTCGTATCACAGCGGTCTGAATAAAATCAACAACTCTTCCTTACATGCATAACAAAGTTCTTTCTAGAAAGACAGACAGCAGGTTCTACAAAATGACACACAAAAAAGGCAATTCGCAGATATACTGCTTTTTCAAATCATTTAGCTCATCTCAACAATTGTTGCGATTTCAACATCCTGCTAAGATCACTTACGCCCATGCCTTATAATAGACCACTTTCCTTTCGTTCAACATTACTGAGAGGATAATTCCGACCAAGACCAGATGCCATAGAGTCAATAGTCTAATTCTGCGATTGAATTGATGGAATAATATCAATCTCTGTTACTATTTTCTTTCACTGGAGTGGCATGAATTCTCTTTTAAAAGCCGTCAGAAAAACAAACAACAAAATCGGGTCTCTTGCGGTAGGATCAAGGATAAAAAAGCGCTTTGCTTTCTACATCTTCGTTCCTTTCTCACATTGTTAAGCCCAGTGGCCGCAGTGGAATTTATCATCCACTTAACCAACCGACTGACCGACCAACAACCAGCCAATATCCAAAAAAGCCTGTCGGTAGGACTGGGATGCACTTAGCCAAAAAAGTCTTGAATAAATGCCGATCTTCCGCCCTCCTGCTTCACTAGATTTCCTGGCAAATTTCCATAGTGATCTCGTTAAATTCATCTTTTCTTAGATCGTAGCCTGTATAAAGGTGAGTGCTTCTCTGCTACGGTTGGAGTGTATGAATGCAAAGGAGTTACCATTATGACCGATTGGCCTTTTTCCGTAAGTATTTGGTAAAAGCCTCCTTTTATTGTAAGACAAGTGGGGTTTTTAAGCTCTGCCTTGTGAAGAAAAGCGTAATGCGCAGTGTTTTTTTTACTCTCGGGTATGGTAAAGGGCCACTTTTGGGCTCCGCCATTGTACGTATTCCGGGCGGTCTGACCTCCGGACCATGCCAGTGGCCTCCAAGACCTTCCATAAGTTATCAATACATATTCTGCCCAAGTATCACGTCTTCTTTTGCCTTCTGGGAAATCTCGGGACGTTACGAACGTGCTTACAGATTTCAAATATGGGTCCTTTAAATAATGCACAATTTTCGAAATAGCTGTGAAATATACATAACAATATTAAACGTCTTGTTAAATTATCTGCGGTTTTATAATCCTAATAATCTACAATCCTAATAAAAGAATTAATAATGTTAGACTGTGTATGTATTCAGTAAACCTGTTTTTGCAGACAAGGCCGCAATGGATCGTTTCTATGATAAAAACGTTAAGACTACCTCTAATTGGCCTAACCGTTCTACTTCATTCAGTCAGGTGACTGACAGCCACAGTCCGGATGTTGCATTGAACTGGCGGTTTAGCCGTGCCTCAATAACAAAACTGTCATCATTCCCTAAAACAAGAAAATCCCACGTCTATTTTATTTTTCAAACTTAACCAATCTGTCTGCCACACGACTTGGTGTAAATATTTTTCATAAGATCACAAAAAACTTGTTGCACAGGTAAGAGCTTTTTTTCGTACTGCCGTTGCGAGTTAACAAATCAATGTCTTATATTTTTCATTCGCTACATTTGTTGATAGCGCTAGTTTCTTTACGCATCTTACGGACATTTTCAAACACAATTTGACATTACACTCCGTGATGCGAACGTGTTCCTTTCTAGTCTGCGGAATTCATCAGAACATTTATCTTAGTCGTGCAGATTGTTGTTCTGATTTTCAAATGTACCTGATGCAAATGACATTTAAGCACAGAATGAAGTAAAAACAATAACAAAGGGAAGAAGAGGCTCATTGTTGTCTCTGTCAGCTTGTTTCGTGTGTCAGTTAGGCGTTTTCATTAACATTTAATCAAAAAAATTAATTTGAATGGCTTTCCCCTACGCCCCCCCCCCCCCTTCCTGAAGGGGATGGCTCACATGACGCAGTCTGGGAACTTTCGAGACAGACAAAGAAACCGCCCTTCCAATTCTGTCTGTCCGCCAGCCTATCACCTCCACCCAGACGCTTTGGGACGCATCCTTTCTGCTGCCATTTTTTTATTTATGCTGCTGTTTTTTTCCACATTAAAGGGTCGGCATCTCACAGTGCCATTCCGGCAGATCTCCACTTTTTACCGTCACCCCTCCTTCTCCCAACGCGACTGTACGCTCCAACTCCAGTTTGAGCATTTTTTATCCGCCCCAAAGATAAATGTCACACTAGGGTATGGTGTGTTTAACTCAAGTGCGGCTTTCTCCTCTTTTTCTCTCCTCCTCTGCCCCCGCCTTAGCCACCCATCCTTCTGCTACTGCCTTTAGTGTGTTTCTCTGGGAGAATGCGAAACTAACTTTTACGGTAAAAGGGTTTGACGAAAGGGAAATTCTTGCTAAATTGGTCGAGTTTGAATTTCATTCCAGATGGTACCTAGATCACAGACGAATTTACCAGGGTAAATATAATTTTGCAATGCGGAAAAAGGATTGTTTAAAGTCAACGCTAGTATATATGACCAAGTTAGGAGTTCTGCGGAAACCTTTACCCCGCCTTGCGACCTGTATGAGTAAAACACCAAAACATTGTATAATTATTTACTCTATAATGTTAAAAGCTTATTTCCGGTGTCAGTGTATGGCAAGCTGGGATGTTGGATGTCCGGACAATGATAAATACGCCTTCATTAAATAAAAGTTCAGTGTCCGTTACCTTTTACCTCTTTGTAAAGTTATAACAAGTCACCCGAAACTTTTAACACGAATATCCCATGGGTAATGTGATTCGGCATGCTTGCTACCAGCATCGAGGTCATGTAACGACTCGCTTTTTCCCACATAAACCCAATACCGCAACCACAACGTGCGCTCCTTATCCTATCCTCTCATAACAATTGGTTATACCAAATTGTACAACAAGCAAGTTGGTTGAATTTTAAAAAATAGATGTAGGTTCTTTTGGTTTAGAAATAGCAGCACTTATTCTTGTCTTTTAAAGACCAGTTGAAGTGCTCAGTCCTGCATTGCAGGTGTTAATACGGAGAACAGGTTCGTAAAGGTGGGCGTCAAACTTTCCACTCCTTTTATGGAAGAAGTCAGATCTATCCAATGTATAGTACTGCGTCGATGTGTACCTCCGGAGAGATGGCGTGCACATGCGACCAAAAGTCGGCCTAAATCCACTATGCTGTTTGGGGGATTTGAGAAACAACTAAAGAACCATTAGAAGCAAATACCCTCAAGTTAATTGTGAGAATAAATAACTTGCGTGGCATAGTAAAAGGTGCTTTTTTCTTACCAACCTAATATATTTATTACTTGAATATGGCATTTGTGAGATGTGTGTACCACTGAGGCCATTTTCCACCCACAGCTTAACTTTGCATTCACGTGTGAGTCTGTTAAGCTATTTCTTCAACTTATTTAGAATGCTTTAAATCACTTCAACAGAAATTACGGCTGAGCGGTAGTGTCATATTTGTTGATTAAAAAATATGGGATGAGGTGGTCGGTTTGCTTCTGAGACAGGCCCTGGTAGTTGACGTGCTAACAGTCGCATAAAAGTGGTGCAGCAAGGCAAGTGCCCGCCTGTAATACTTGACGCACTGATTACGCAGCTTAAACTAATCCAAACAGAACTAGTCAGTAAATTTAGCCTTAAAGTACACTTGCCTCTCAAGCGGGTACCTATCGATCTGTTGCGTTTTGACATCAAAATGTCATTGGAAATTAAATTGACATCTCAAAGTACTGAGAGTGATTTAACTTAGTACAACCAGTCTTGATCGTCCATGATGCTCTCGAAATGGGGGAGGAAATGGCTCGAAGTCCTGCGCATTCCGTTTGTGTTCGGTGACAGGGCGTGAGTAATGCGTTTCGCGGCAGTGGAATGTGCGGTCGAAAGTCATTTGCAAGCAGAAGGCGAAAAAACTACCACTTTTTTGTCCGCAGCTGTCAGGAGGCGCTAAAAAGCGGTCTGCATCAACTGACTTTGAAATTGCCTCAAAAGACTGGAAAAACCGCCACTTCGTGAAAAGCCTACATCATTTGCTACCAGTTTGTCGCACTACTTCAGTTTACTCTCTGGCCAAAAAGTGGTTTTTTATCCTATTTGAGCTTTGCGCCTGGAGCCACTTCGAACAGATGAAATGTTGATTGAGGTTTAAATCACCTAGACTGGAAAAATATCTGCTTTTGCAGATGGGAAATACAGATTTTATATCAAACGTGTGTAATTCAGCATTTTTTAGTTCTAATTCAGAGTCTTTTTAGGCAGCCACTCCAAATTTTACTCTCAAAGGATAATAAAACTTAGTACTACAATGCAAATATTTACCATTTTTAACGTAGCTTGTTTTTCCATTCACATAAACTGCTATCGGATAGTGTATTGTACAATTACGATGGAAAAAAAGGGTTGCCTTTGCTTTTAAACTGAAGTTCATTTCAGAGCGATAAAATAGGACCAAATTTTGACATTCAAAATACATGATGGTGACATTCTATGCATGGAGGAATTTTGTGGATTTCGTGTTTATTAACGCTTTGCTTGTTTGTTCAACTCTTCGTTCTGATTTTGGGGCCACTTAATGCTCCTCCACTGTACCTCTGCCTAGTGGCCTGACCTTCGAGCCAGGCTGGTAGCCCTTCAGCCCTCCTATACGTGGCCAGTAAGCATAATCTCCCCTAGTAATATGACTTCTTCCTTTTTTTGGAAGGACTCGGGGTGCTACTTTGGTGACAACTACTTTTATTTCTATTGCTAAATGATAAGCCTTAGCGTGATGGAAGATGGTGCATATGCTGCAGATAGAAGAATCTGTGGTGACCCCAACAGAAGGGCTAAAAATGACGTCTACCTTCGGCAACTACCACAGTAGAAACACTGCTTACAAGTGAAGCGATATTAGACGTGAACCATTTAAAAAGGTGCTTTCTGTGGTACCTGTATGAAGATGCCAACTAACAGAACACGCGATACCTCCTCCACATCTCTATTAGCTGAACAGAACCTTGATAGATATGTCTTGGCAACGATGAGGCGAGAACGAAGTGGTAAGAAGGAACAGAGGCGCAATTGTATAGCCCACGAAACTATTTTCAGTTCCGTCTCTTAATCTAAGACTCTACTTTTAGGTCGATGTTCTTACAGATGGTGAGGGACACACGGGCCGGCCAGCACATTTCTCATTTCCCCAACACAATTCCAAAACAGATCAGAGCCCCTTTTCCAGTGAAATTGCCACTAGGGCTTGGTAACATTTTGGTCAAGTATCTTCCCAGTTACATGGAAATTCGCTGACCGACGCGGTTGGCTCGTGGGTGTTTTTATACAGCACCGACTGCGTTGTGATGGCTTTGGTTTTGCAGGCACTCAAGCCGCCTCGAAATGCGCTTTCGCTGAGCGTCATGACATCTGGGCCATACCAGTAACCCCCAAGTCCTTTCGTACGTCGGAAATATGTATTCTGTCTTGGTGGCTACATTTGTTCGACTTCTGACAAGACTCAAGAGGGTACAGTTTGTGTTAAATTTACATTCATAAACATTTAACATCCCAACTGTTGATCAAGTTGTGTCGTTTCATCTCTCTTAACAGACAGGACACTGATCAACCTTAGTTGTCGAAAACCGACAGATAAAAAACAAGATGGAAAATTAACTTGAATGTCCGAAAACAACTGCTTCAGCCATTAATCATGTAAAACCTAGCCCGCATTTGGTGTGGCTTAATTAACACCTACAGAGTGAGGGCAAAAGAGCCCAACACTTCTTTCGTCGCACTTCGATAGCAGATGGAAATTAACAAATTGTGCCGGTTATCATTTTCCCTGACTGATTAAGCTGTGTTTCAGGGCAAGTGAAATAAAGTATGTGTTTCCTAAAAGGCCTTTTATTTCACACAGTCTAACTAGGTGCTGTTACTTCAGTCGATGTAGTCTGCACAAAAGTTGTTTCGACGATAAGAAAAATCCCCGAAACGCGTGACTCACAAGGCTAAATGTCATTCTGTGTCATCCGTATGATAATTTTAAATGTTTTCAAAAATTTTGATTTCGTATTATTTTATATTTACTGCTGCCAGAGAAAGTAGAATTTATTGCTTTCAACAGATGTCGGCTAGGTCTTTTGCAATAAGAAAGTCAAACTTAAGTTCCTAATGTTTATTCATTTTTAAGATGACGTACCAATTCGGTAAAGTAGAAGGATCTAACTAAAATCAGTGGCATTGTAATACTTTGGCTATTTGCTTAACTCTTCGTTTATGTTATGCGGACACTAAATAGCATGGCTACGATACGTTCACCCTGTTGCTTGGCATCCGTGCCCCGCCATGTAGCCACTCAGACCTTCTGTAAGTCAGTAACATAAGTGTAGCCTCCCGAGATTTCCCTGAAGACGAATAAAGATATGGCGTTCGGCCAGAATATGTATTGCCGACGCACAGTAGGGTTTAAGGCTACTGGCATGGTCTGGGGGTTAGGCCTTCCTGCAAGGGTACAGTGGGGGGAGCCAGTTAGTGGCCCGTTATCAAAACAGAGTTTAGCAAACATTAAATGTATTGCACATATTCTGTTTCAGTACTATGCCTTCTTTCGTCTTTGGAAGAGACTCATGGTGCTACAATATGCCATAAATGCCGCTTGTATCAATTAAATATTAACCTGTTTGAAGTCTATACCTCTTGGATTCTATACCACTAGTCATTAATCTGTTAACTGCAAACGATAACTTTTCACTCCTTATAAGTTAGATTTTGTGCTCTGGAGCACTTGTTGGAGTCGCCACATTTTAGAGAAGGAAAAAACGTGAAACAGAAAAATGTTGAAATAATTTTATTGTTCTGCACCTATGATAGGGCAAGCACTTAGTAGCAAACTACTTTTTGCCACAAACGACACCATACCACCTGATTCACGAAAAAAATTGCCACTAGGTGTCATTATCCTGCAAGTTCGTTGAATTGCTAAACAGTTGGGTGGTTAGACGAAAAGTTGCTGATTGCTTTGGTGGTAGAAGACGCCGATAAATTTCTCCGATTCACCGACTATCTTCTCTAGGCCTTTGTGTCTGGAAAGGAGACGGGATGAAAAGGACATGCTGCGGAACATTTTTTACCCCTTTGTTTATTTGCTTAAGTTGTATGTTGATCTATACAGGTTCTTCAATCTAAATATTACCCTGGCGTTCCGTTTGCCTTGCCTCTGCAACCTTTTTTACTTCAGTGCAGCGTCCTGGGTCCAGCATCATAGACATATGCCAAGCATTCCTTCGCCGCTTGAGACAATTAGTTTTATTAGATTTTATTATGTTGTTAAAGCCAAAAGGAGTTGATTTTAAGATTTAATTGAAAGATTTTAAATAAAATTTTAGATTAAAACAGTAAGGTATTCATAAGATGTTCGTCGTCCAAGCAACTGTATTGTTAAGTAGATGGAATGTGAGGAGACAAGCCTTCATTACTAATCACTTGCCATTTGACAATACGAGGGAACTTGGAATATATCCCTTTTATCATCCCTTAAACAGAAAAACCCGATTTTCTTATGCAACACGATTGAAAATAGACCTTTAATTTTCACCCTCGTTATCCCCTTTCCACTAGGAGTGTATTTTAAAAAAACGTCTGATAAAACTGCACCTTAGCAGAACATTGGTACTGTCATTCTTGAAAAAGATAGTCTGTACGCACACCTCGAAACACCTACGAAGTGCTGATTCCCCTCTAGGAACTAAAAAATTACAAGGCCTTTTTTATTAGTTAAGCTGCTTCACAATGACAAGTGTTTCACGTTTTGAAGATGAATCACTTAGAAACTAAAAAAAAAGACTTTTCCTGGCAGTAAGTGTTATACTTCTCATTGAGGAGGTAACAAGGCTAGACTTTGGTTTAGGACCGACTTTTTAATAGTCGAAAGCTATTGGTGTACAAGCGAGGCAGTGCATTTCATTTTTTTCTACAGCCTAATTAGTTCCAAGACAGAATGGGCCCGTCTGTGCGTAAAGGAGACAGTATCATTTCAAAAGGGAGTTGAGTTGGCGTTGCTCCCCTGCCGGCAGGGTCGAGGTAGTTGCAAAGGCAATCACATCCAATGAAAAGTACAGTGAATTTCTCACATGCTGCGCTATCCCTTATTTTTCAGAGGGGGTTAGGGTGTGAAACAAAGAGCAATTCCTCCATTCAGAGGATAATGAAGGAATCACTATAGTAACCCAATGCCTCGAATTGTGGAGGCCCCTATTTATTATTCTCTATTCAATTAAGTTGATAAAATTCTTTATTTTCAAGAACCTTAACTATTAAATTTAAAAGAAATATGCCATCTTAGTATTTTGGAGTAAATTTCGTCAAGGAAAGTATGCATAAATCTTTATTTTATTTTTAGTAATTAACTTAAATTAGACTCAAAAATACTGTGCTTAGGACGCGAAGAAAGCAATTCTACTTCGTTAAAATGTAGTGCCTCGAGACTTCCTTAAAGACGAAAGAAACATTAATACTCGGGCGGAATAGGTATTGCTGACATAGAAAAGGCCCGAGGGCTACGGGTGTGGCCCGGAGGCCTTGCCGCCCAGCGGAATTACGATTGCAGAAAACAAAACGAAGAGTAGAACAGACAGTTGTATTTTGACTGAGAAATTTAGCGATTTTCGTAAAGCAAACTATTATTCCCATTTGTTCATGACAAAATACATAAGTCCCACCTTATCACAGCAGTACAATGGCGCTTCTTAATTTTACTTTGCTATGGCATTTTTATGCAACTTTTCCATAACAGAACCTAATTCTTGATGCCCACCTCTTTTATTTTGAGGTATTTCGTCTTCCTATTCTCAGTATGCGCTTACATTTCAAAGTATTGCGACATATTCGCCATCCACACTGGCAGAGAGCAATAGGCGGTTTACTGATCTGCCTTGCCACCAAGTGTCATGCATCGTTGAGCCCTTTGACGCTGTTCAGATTCAAGAAAGTGTGATAGTTCTCTTTCGAATAAGAAGATCATCCCACATCAGTAACCATTTGAAACTCAACCACTTGGCTAGCAAATGGTTATAATGAAATGATTAGTCCATGTTTTAAAAATTAGTGAAGTTTGGCGTCACATATACGTGACGCTGTTGGCGAACGTGCTTGATGCTCATAAGTCTTGACTACAGTAAGGGTATGCTGATCAACCAATATGTGCCTGTTTGAATGCACCTCTTAGGCGAGGGGTAGTCAGTGAATGCGAACCTCGTGGTGGATGCCATCAGCCTCCTGAACAGGCTTAAATAGCCCTCTCGTTCTAGAGGTACAAGAGCTCAAAAAAGTTAGAAATTTCAGCGAGCAAATGTATTCGTCAAGGTGTAAGGCCCAAAATTAAGGATTGGACGGAGGAAGTCGCCGCACAACAGTCAGAAAGTGGCAATCAACTGTGAATTGTAGTAGCCTCATTTCACCTTATTTCCACTTAACATGATTATTTGGTCAATATTTGAGCAAACCTAGTCATTTTGCAAGTTTAATAACCTAGCCTTTACCCTAGTAGACTTATCTTTCCTGTAAAGCACATTTCCAATTTGCAAACTCTCTTTACAGTGGCTTAATACAACAGACAATTAACTCGTCCGCCGTCAGTATTACACGGAAGTAACACGTGACCTGCAGCATTGGATGGTGCTTCGCTGTACCAAGTCATGTCGCAAACTGTGTTGCATCAGTCCAAAACAGTGAAAAAGGTATAGAATTATCGCACTTTTTTGTTTTTGAGCCATCGTTGGATAGGTTATAACTTCGATGCAAAGCGTTGGTGCCACATTAGAACAATGGAATATTTGGCATGCGGTGGCCGATTTTCTTCAGCAAGCATATTGAGTGTAGGTTGCCGACTTCCACAAGGAGTAAGTCTCAGAATCAGAATTCGTTTTACAAACGCGGAAATGTATCCTTTCAGGCATATATTCAATTTGATTATTTAGTATTTGGAACAGTTGCCTTACTGCAATATTTACAAAATCCATGGGAATTGACGGGAGAAATGCGACCTCACCGAGGTAGTGGGCGATGAATTAGTGAGCTACTTGTTTCACTGGAAGTCTTGCTTCCAAGTGTGTTTGTAGCCTTAAGGGAATGCCGCTCTCTACCATTGGTAAACAAGATAAAAATCTAAAATATTTCAGAACTCATCCGTTAACACTGTTATTTTGGGGACGAATTAAACCCGACTTTACTGAAAATAGGTCAGATATGGTTAAGCAACCAATCTCAACTCAAACTAAATTCCTCATTAGTTGTTTGGGAAATGCATGCTAACATGATTGAGGGTGCGGTATTTTCACCATTAATCATTCCCATTGACTTACCCGACCTTTTGTAAATTCCATTGTACAATACCTTCCTAAAGTACACCCATTCTTGATTAATACAGATAAAAGTGGCAACTGGTGCGCATAAAACCATGAATCGCACCTGACGAAACGGTTCGTTGCATAGACCAGCGTAAAGATGGAACAAAGTCATTCGAAACTAGACTCCTTAATTACTGGTTGAAGTAATCACGCACTTGGGACTATTCTCAAGTTTACTTCACTCATTAAGTGGAAAACTTTTCATATCGCGCCACTTTGTCTCCTTCATTTGGCAAAAATGTGTTTACGCTAATCCCCAACTCTGATTGGTCGAACAGAGGCCCAGGTATTTTTGACACCTTTCAAGGGGATTAGAGGCAAAATTTAGGCGTAAGTTATTATGCATGCAGCCAAATGACACCCAACTGACAAGGCACAAAATTAAAATCACTGACAGCTATGATGCTTGAAAAAGTTGGATATGAATTGAACTTGACAACTTTGTGGCATTGATTGACACACACTCGATGCTCCCTATCGGCACACACAGAAGCTCCCTCCACCTTCAATTCTCAAAACTCAGAAGTTGTAGCAGCAGCAGCTGAAAATGGCTACTAAATATTCTAAAAAATTTAAGACAGTTGAGGCAGAGCGTATCGCGAAGAAACCGGTGTCAAACGTGAATCTCTGTAAATGCGTCTCAAATGTTACTTCTTTGTCAAAATCTGCAATTTTTCATCATCGCGTTTGGTTGATTTGTTGCAGAAGCACTTCAAAGATTGCTTTGCGCAGCGGTACTGCCCATTTGCGTTACTTCCTTTAAAAACGCTTTTAAGAATAGTGATAAGTCCGAATTAAGAAGGAAAGGCAAAACCAAAATGTGAGAAATTACAGGTTCTTATGCCGGTGGTGTCATGGGCTCCATAAATTCGATAAATAGGAGAACACTGCTGTTCTATAGTACAAAATTGCTGTTTTTGCATAAAAAGAATGGATAGATTTCAAGAAGCATAACCGCATTTTCCGATGCAGTTCTCTGATCAACTTCAGCATCCCATAAACACCCAGAAAGCCTAGTATTCTTCGTTCATCGGTGCCTTGACATCCACCGTGTGCTAGCCATTCTCGTGGACATTTGCTTCTTTATCACCCCTTACACAGAAGAATTTGACCCTTGCGCAATTTTAAGATTGATTGCTCGGTTATTATGTAGAATCGAGCCCTTCATGTCTTGTACGTTCTACTAAGAACAGGACAAGTAGGGCTAGGACCATTAATGTCAAACGCAGAGCCGCCCTCCTAGAAGTTTATACCCCTAAATTGCGCAGCTCAGAACGGTTTTAAATCCCGTCGTTGTACTGTACCTTGGATCACCTTTAGACATCCACTTGTTATACGCCTCCGTTTATGCGAAACTTCAGTATCAAATGCTCTTTGGAAGGTTTACCTGTGTCGATATATTACTAATGTACAGCCAGCGATATCTCGCAGTCCCCAAACCATGATAGTATGAAATTACCACCTGGGAATGACCTGAACAAATAGTCAGATAAATGTACTTAGTTCGTCCTCCGACTTTCGGCTACACTGCATCAGCCGCGGTTTCAGACAAGTCACCCGCCCTCACACTCTTGTCATATAGTCATCATGTCTCGCGTGTGTGTTTGTCACATTCACACTATGCTGTTGAGTTGTTGATGTCTCACACAAAGTCGTTTTTTTACAACAGCTTCTAACCGAGTTCTTGTTAAACAAAGCCCGCCCCTCTCTCGCTCGCACACTCACTCACAGTTCGTTTGGATTCTTTTTTACCTGACTCAGACATTCTGGTCCCTTCCTTGTACTAAGTCAGTTGCCGCTCTTCCGTCAAATGCAGGACCCTCACGCACGCACTCACACACGAATTCAATCGTGTGTGTGTGTGATAATTCTTGTTTATCTCTTGATGCTTTCACTTTAAATTTTGGACAGTGACCTCTCATGCTCCTAACAAAGAAGTGGAGGAGGTGATTGGACTAACTGCGAGACGAAACGCGAAGGGGAGAATAAGCCAACGTGCAAACACAACAGATTATCAGCACATCCGGTTCCTTGCTGGTTAAATCTAACCGCTCTCCATGGCGCTCTGTGTGTTAGTCTCCCACCCCCCTCCCCCTCGCTTGACGAGCGCACAATACGACCATTGACAGATGAGGTTCGAACGCGCGTGTGTGTTCTCGGCGTGTTTTCGTCCGAGTATAAATGAGTAATCGCTCCTGATTAGTCAGTCGGTTTAGTCGGCTCTCATTTACGTGAATTAGTCCTACATCAGACAAATTTGGAAGGCTGACTTGCTTTTCTCCGTGCGACAGATTCATCGACTTCAAACGACTATTGCTTTGACTACTGACTTCAGATATTTGACGGATTATTTCGTAAATGATGCAATCGCCTCAGCATAGTTTACCTTGGATACGATTCATAGCAAACATGAACTGTTTCGAAGCAATCTTAACTTTTAAATTGCTCCCTACTTGAGCATTTGTATTACGGTAGCAAATGATACATCGAAATGATATAGATTTTACCAAATGGTTGAATACACTACACATTTAATTCAGCTTTCGGCAAATTTATTTGTGAAAACATCACTTGTCTCGCACAAGAAAAGCATTTAAGTATCGTGACAGGTTCCATTGCATGTTTTCTGTAATAAAAATATTCTCACTTTTATCCCATCGTTCACTGCTTCCGATCCCTTTATCTGCGTTTTCATATTTTGATAAGAAGTGGCTGAATGTTTTAAATCCCTCGCTCCGGAAGCCTGGATTGCTAGATTTACAAAAATCAAATTAATATTGTGAAATAAGCTTTTGTCACGGAAAAAGAGATTCAAACCGTTCATATCTAGCTTTAGTGATGTCTAGCTTTAAAATTGCTAATCAGGGTTTGCTTTGCTCTCCCCAATTTTGCATTCCCCAAGGTTCACTCCTTAACTGTTACAAAAGTGAATGCAAACTCTACCTTGCAAATTTCGTAGTAAATGTTGGCAATTTATCCCTGTTGGAAATATACGGCTGGTTATCCTATCCTATCTCCTCATTTTATCTACATCCAACAGTGTCACTGTGCCGTAGTCCATGGCTCCCAGTACCGATGCTATTCACCTTGCGTATTCACTTGTCTGGGGGTAAAAGGAACATAACTTTGTATTGGAATATGAAAAATGAAATTTTAAATTATAAATCACGACCCATTCCATTCCCTTGCATCCATCTTAGAATTTCTTAGCTAATGGACTGAACCATACCTCGACCAATAAGAGTTGGCGACGTATTCTCACAGGAGGAACACACGATTCACGAATGCTGATAATTGCTACAATTTGCCAAAGCATTATTTGGGGCCGCAGTACTAGCAGTATTTGATGGGATGCAGACAAAGTGGTTTACCCTATGCGACGATTTTTTCATGATCCACCGTCTTCACATAATCAGTTGGACGTTTTTACCACTATACGCTAAGCGCTGTGTCACTTCAGCTAAGATTGCAGGTAAAA